GGTACGGGCGCGACACTGAGGGTTGCGGTCCGTTGCCAGACACGACAAAAAGACAAAAAAAGACAAAAAAAAAATAATAATAATAATAATAATAATTATAAAAAACAACTCTTGTTGCTTAATATGTTTACAGAACACACCAGAGCTATATCCAGCAGAACATAAGTAAACATTGACAAATTTTTCAATACAGCAACTCTGTTGATGCTCAATTAGAAAGATGAGGTATGAATTTAGTAACTCACTTCTATGATCACCTGAAACTGTTTTTTTTTAAGTTGAATTCTTTTCTTCTCCTAGTTCTCCCTTCTGATTTTTAATAGTAATAGCTCTACCAATCACCCAAGTAGAAACCTTAGGTTTTTCTTTTTCTTGTAATACTTCTCACCCACCCCACTCTTGTTCAGCTTGTATTTCATACTTATATAATAAGTTTGATATGATAGCTTCCTAACATAGCTTCCTTGTCAACACCTTATACAGTCATCAGATTAATCTTCATAGACAATGACTTTGACCGTCTTACTTTCTTGTACAAAAACCTTCAGTAGGGATTCCTACCTAAAATTCAAATTCAAGAGCCTCTTTAAGTCTTCCGATCAAGATAGCAGAATAGACAGTCCCCAGCATCGCCTTCTCCCACAATCGACCAATTTACAACTATTAAAAAGCAACAAACTACCAAGCTAGGGCCACTAGAGCTCAGGAGAATAGGAAGAAACACCTACAGAGTTCATGAAGGTGGAAGTTACGATGAGAGAAAGGACGGACCACTCTGACTATTTCCAGCCCCGGCCACATCAAGGCTGGCCCTGGTGAGCACACCTAGCAAGAGCTGGTAAAAGCCGCAGCTGTGCCCTTCGCATGAAATTGCTTGGAGAATGAAAGGGAGAAGAGGGCCTTGGGTGGTAGGAACGAGGGGCCACAGACAACTGAAAAAAGGAGTCACTCAAAGGCTGGTGAGACACCACAAGGGACCGGACACATGGCCCATCCCGTGGGAAGTGTTTGGAGTGCGGGCAGTTTAGTGGGAGAGATGGGCCTCCCAGGGGAACACTGGGGCACAGCTTGGACAGCTGATGTGCCCTCCAATCAGCACAGGCCCACTCAGTGGAGACAGGTCAGGAATACAGAACTGCAGGGGGTGCAGCTTGCTGAAAATACACAGGCCTAAACCAGAGTTTCCACAGCACAGAGGTACGGGACCTCACAAGACCTGGAAGTGCTTACAAGGTCAACAATTAAAACCTGAGCTGCACAAAAAGCCTTCGCCAGAGAATCAGCAGTGAAGCAGCAATTTAGCTCAACCATAGGGCTCAAATGCTGGTTCCCACAGGAAGTTTCCCCATTTTGGAAGTAAGCAAAGGATGACAAATTAGTTCCAGTGCAAAGTTTAAGTAGTGGGCATAGCAAATAATCCAACACAGAGCTGAAGGAAAAAACAAAAAACCCACAGATTAGAGACAAAGTTCAGATATTAACCAATAAAAGTCTACCACCACCAAAGAACATCTATAAAACCTAGAAGGACCGGAAGCCCCTCAGGCGCCTGAGCCAGTGTGGTGGGAGGACGAAGATCTCAGCCATGCCTTCCACTCATGTCCACATCGAGGGCCTCGGCCACGTCCCTGCAACGTCCACATCCAGCTCAATGCTGACCACCAGGCTACCACCAAAAGCATCCTGGGCTCCCAAGCCAGGACAGAGGAGGGCTGAGGGCCTAGGCCATGGACCCTCCTTCCAAAGTCCACTTCCAGCCAAGCCACAACCGAGCCACCGTCGGAAGCCCCCTGGGCTCCCCTGCCAGAATGAGGCAGGTGCCATGGGTCTCAACCACACCCCCCCTTTCTGTTTCTCCTACCCTCCTCCCTCCCTTTCCCCCTCCCCACAAATGCTCTGCAACATCTTAGAATGTAAAAAATAATAATCTTTTTTTTTAAAAAAGAGCCTCTATAATCTAACTTCAATTTTAATTTTTTAAAAGTGAAGCATGTTCTTTAGACCTAAAAATACTTGTCTTGGTTCAAATAATGTTATAAATCTCTTCATTTTTGCTGATAAGAGAAAATAAAGTATATAAAACATATACAACCCAAGGATCCAAAAAATAACTTACTTTCTTTAGAATTTAGTTAAACCAAAGCTACAGAGTAAAACTAAACTTATCCATTTACTACTATAAAAGAAAAATCTGAGGCATAATAAAATTTTAAAGAAGTTCATTTGAGTAAGAAGCAACTTAAGAATTGGGAGCACCAGACCGAAAGTTTAGTTTTCAATGACAAAACATCAGAGACAGGATTTTTTTGGAAAATGCAGAAGCAAAATACAGAAATTATTTGATTGGTTTATAATTACAAAACTGCCTTTTTTTCAGATACCTTGTGAAAAGTCCCTGATCACATAACCATGTATTAGTTGGCTATTCATGATTAGCTGGGGTTAAGTTTTAGTTCTAACATAAGCCTTTATCAGATGATGACCCAAATTAAGTTTTGCTTATGTTTGCGGTTTAAGCAAGATCAAAACTATTTTTAAGGCCTTTGGTTTTGTTTGCTCATGAATTTTTCAAGCCTGTTCAGAGTCACATAGCTGCCATCAGGAGTTACACAGTTAGTGTTGGCTTCCTCCAGTTGCCTGAGTCCGATGGCAAACATTTGATGTGTGAGTGGCTACTGGAGAGCATTCAAAATCTTTGAGGGTATATGATGCATCAGGGGAATAAACAATAAGTATAGGGAGAATAATAGCCAATGTAAAAAATAATAATCTTTTTTTTTAAAAAAGAACCTCTATAATCTAACTTCAATTTTAATTTTTTAAAAGTGAAGCATGTTCTTTAGACCTAAAAATACTTGTCTTGGTTCAAATAATGTTATAAATCTCTTCATTTTTGCTGATAAGAGAAAATAAAGTATATAAAACATATACAACCCAAGGATCCAAAAAATAACTTACTTTCTTTAGAATTTAGTTAAACCAAAGCTACAGAGTAAAACTAAACTTATCCATTTACTACTATAAAAGAAAAATCTGAGGCATAATAAAATTTTAAAGAAGTTCATTTGAGTAAGAAGCAACTTAAGAATTGGGAGCACCAGACCGAAAGTTTAGTTTTCAATGACAAAACATCAGAGACAGGATTTTTTTGGAAAATGCAGAAGCAAAATACAGAAATTATTTGATTGGTTTATAATTACAAAACTGCCTTTTTTTCAGATACCTTGTGAAAAGTCCCTGATCACATAACCATGTATTAGTTGGCTATTCATGATTAGCTGGGGTTAAGTTTTAGTTCTAACATAAGCCTTTATCAGATGATGACCCAAATTAAGTTTTGCTTATGTTTGCGGTTTAAGCAAGATCAAAACTATCTTTAAGGCCTTTGGTTTTGTTTGCTCATGAATTTTTCAAGCCTGTTCAGAGTCACATAGCTGCCATCAGGAGTTACACAGTTAGTGCTGGCTTCCTCCAGTTGCCTGAGTCCGATGGCAAACATTTGATGTGTGAGTGGCTACTGGAGAGCATTCAAAATCTTTGAGGGTATATGATGCATCAGGGGAATAAACAATAAGTATAGGGAGAATAATAGCCAAGGATTGAAAAATCCCTCTAAGATCCCCAGGAACCAAGATTTAACAAACTGAAGAAATCAAAGGAGGAGGCAGCGCTTATCTGATGAAAAACTCAAATTTGTTCTTTAAGATTTTTTAAATACAGGGCAAAAGTGCCTGATTTTGTTAGCATAAAAACAACACTTTTTGCCAGTTAGGGCACAAATTCCTCCCTAAGTATTAACAACTCTTCTATTTTGGAGTACCCCTAAGGCCAAATTATCCATCTCAGATTATACTGCTTAAAGAGAATTCAAAGTTATCATTAAAACTTTTTTCAAGAATTGCTGAAATATTAATAAGTGATTTTTCCAACTCAGACACTCCCAGCTGAAGAACCAGGGCTCTTTCAAAAGAACAATATCCAAAATTTCTTCCTTTAACTGTGTCTGGGAGACCAAGGGGGTTGTTTTGTGTGTACACTTTATGTACAAATGACCCTAAGTTAAAGATTTCACTAGCATTTAGAAAGTAATATCTGGTCATTTTAGATAGGAGATAGTCCAAACCACAACATCCAGACCATTTAAGTGGGAAAGCCTTTATATATTTTGTTACCACACAATAATCCAATATTATTAAGAGAAAGGGTCAAAGTGAATCCCCTTACCCACCATATGAGTGATATAAATGTCATGGTTATTCTTTTTCATATCTGAATCTGCACAATGCTAGGTTGAATGGTTATGGTTTAAACTGGAGTAGGAACAAAAAACATTTCTATGTATTTGATAAAGTAACCCATGTTTACTGTCACCAAATAAGGATGATTAGGTCCCTTTCCAAATATGTCCCAAGTATTGATCTATCCAATAAACAAAGCTATCATTTATTTTACGGAGTAGACCTGTAAAGGCATTTTATTTGCCTCTAGAGTTCCCACT